TCGCCAAAGACTTATCTGATAATGATTTTGACCGATACTTAGAAGGTTGTGAAAACCTAACAGAGCAAATGAGAGTGCACAATAATTTCTTAAATTTTGTTTTATCGGTTATAAAGCCACATTATAGTAATGTAAAAAGGCTCGATACTGGTCAGATTTTAGTCTGCACTGGATGGAGGATATTCATATACAACATCCAGACAAAATAATATCTGCACGGGTTTCCGTAAATCAAATTATAATTGAAATGTGCAGTGGCCAGCAAGATGACCCAATTTAGCACTACTTTTTTTTCTCTGAGGTTACCTGAAAAAACACGTTTATGTTAACACTCGATACACGATCAACCATTAATGACGCAAAAAAAACTCCATAATTCAAGCCAGCGAAATAAGGTTTCTCATTAGATTACAAAGCTGATTACACTAAGAAAAAAAAACGTTTAACAAGAACTAAATAGCTACTTAATTAATGAAGTGCTGATGGAGAATCCACTTAGCGATCGCCAATATGCATACCAGCCAGGAAAGTCAACTGACTTGGCGCTGGATGATCTTAACAGACTGCTCTCAAAGTCGCTAGATGACAAGGAGATAGCGGTGGCGACGTTTCTGGACGTGGAGGGAGCGTTTAATAACGTCTCCTTCGAGTCTGTAACGAACGCGCTTAAAAGGAGAGGAGTTCCTGCCTTCATATGCGAGTGGACAAAGGCGACCTTAACAAACAGGATCATTGTGTCCTCGTTAGGTGAAGCCACTATTGAAGCGAAGGCAGGAAGCGGCTGCCCACAAGGAGGAGTTTTATCCCCATTACTGTGGGCTACGCTTATGGACGACCTACTTAATACACTGTCCAGGGAGGGTTTTTACTGCCTGGGTTATGCGGACGATTTGGTAATTGTAGTCCGAGGACGCTTTACCAAAATAATTTCGGAGAGACTTCAAGTCGCTCTGAGGATGGTGGACAGCTGGTGTGAGGAAGAAGGCCTGAAGGTTAACCCTAAAAAAAACATCTGTTGTTCCCTTCACCAGGAAAAGAGCACTGCAAGGCTTACAACCACTAGCGCTCAAGGGAGTAGAAATCCCATTCACAAGTCAGGCCAAGTACTTAGGTGTAATATTCGACCAGAGGCTGACATGGAATGCACACATTCAGAAAGTCACACAGAAGGCCACTATGGCCCTGAACACATGTAGACGAATTTGTGGTAAGAATTGGGGGTTAAATCCTAAAATGAACCTCTGGTTATACACAAGGGTTATAAGGCCCATGATAACTTATGGTTCAGTGGCGTGGTGGAACAAAACGCAACAGTCCGGGGCGATTCGATTGCTCAGTAGCACACAAAGGCTTGCATGCTTGAGTGTTACAGGAGCCATGAGAACAGCCCCAACGGACGCGCTAGAAGTTCTGCTAAACCTACCACCTCTACATAATATACATACAGAGTGAAGCCAGATCAACAGTACATCGGTTGATCCAAGGCCAAGCTCCAATAAGTATGATGCAGGGAGCTGATAACTTAAGGCTATACCAGGACATAAAGGCAGACCCCGTTCTAGGAATGCCTGTAGACCGAATGGTTACGAGGTATAGTTTTTAACAAAAATTTTCAAATTACAATACCAAAAAGAGAGGACTGGGAAACTGGTCCGCCGCTAACAGCAAACTCAATATGGTATACGGACGGCTCCAAAACGGATACAGGTACGGGGGCTGGAATATATGGCATAAAACCAAGGACGGAAGTCCGGGTATGTCTAGGAACATACGCGACCGTATTTCAAGCCGAATTAGCTGCTATACACAGGTGCGCTATGGAACTAATCGGTCGAAATGTAGATAACGACTCCATCGTTATCTATTCGGATAGTCAAGCGGCTCTAAAGGCTCTCAGTTCGGTACAGGTCGATTCATGGCTGGTATGGAACTGTTTGGATGTCCTCTCTCAGGTAGGAAGTCGAAACAGGTTGACACTTGCTTGGGTGCCGGGACATAAGGGCCATCGTGGCAACGAGAAGGCCGACGAATTGGCCCGAGAAGGCGCATCTACGCCACTGGTTGGTCCGGAACCCTTCTTTGGAATCGCAAATACGATAAAAAGGGCAGCCATACACAAATGGGTGCAACAGAAGTCTCTTGAGTGGTGGAACAACTCACCAGGACAGAGGCAGGCCAAACAGTTCATCAAAGAACATTCGGCGAAATTTACAGCAGACTTACTTTCGCACAGACGCAGGACTGTCAGAATGATAGTGGGTCTGCTCACTGGGCACTGTAGACTCAATAGACACTTGAGTCTCATAGGCCTGACAGAAGAGGACACCTGTCGTTTCTGTCTGGAAGAAGAGGAAACCGCTCTACACGTTCTGTGCCATTGCGAAGGTCTCGCACGAATGCGGTTTCTAGAACTCGGAGAGGAAAAACCGGAAGCACCAGGCTACATGAAAAGGCCACTATCAAGGCTGTTGAGTCTCATTAAGAGGACCAAGCTAGATGAAGTGCTTTAAAATAAGAGGGGAACACAATAGATCTGCAAAGGTCGCAGTGTATCAGGCTCTATTGGCCGCCCCATTTTCTACATTCTACATTCTACTTAATTAATGAGAAAATAAGAGAATACAAAACAAAAAGGCAAGATTATACAAACAAACTGGATTAATTCGAATTATGTATTAAACTAATACGAAATAACAAAACCAAAGGCAAAAAAGTATAAGACTTTCCTTGAGATGACGGAGTAAAGTTTAGTGTTAAAACAGTCAATAAATAATGTATAATCTCTGTGATGAAGGAGAAGAAGAACTTTTGAGCGCGATTTTTTTGGCAACTTCTGAGAAAAAAATATTAAATTAGGCCACAGTTGGAGAGAAAATTAAACGATCTTTAAAATGTTGTGCCAATTGTTCTTCTTTCTATGTCAAATTACAACGTTTAATCTTGATAGGAGCACCACGTCTCTAACTTTCTCTACCTCCACCTAAAGGCTCAATAATAAATGGCAGCAACAGCATCAGTCAAGAAATACAAGCATGTATTGTTACTGATAAGAAGTGCTTTTATAAAAAAAGAAAAATCAAAGAAGCGGCTCTAATTATGCTAAATGAGGCCAATTGTGTCGCAAATTCCTCGGCAGAATGTAGTAGGATCTGGTTACCAATATTGAAAGAGGAAGTTATTAATAGAAAAATACCAGTATTAGTAAGTCAGTAACATATAGAGGATACATCATTTATTTTTTTTTTTAAGTAACGTAACATATAAAATCAGAATTTTGATGTTTGTTGAAGGTAAACTAAATTCACGACCAAATACTTACAATGTCGGGATAGTATTATGAGGTTTTTTTCCTGTTTTTTCCTCATAATTTACTATGGAATCACTAACAGGAGAATTTTACTGTCATCATGTCATGTGTTTGTCTTTTTAAAGACGAATTACATGCTATGATTTTTTTCTGACGGATATTCTCAAGTTAAAGTTGATTTCATGTAATCAATGAACTATCTTATAAGTAAAGTCGTCCCAGGAGCGCAACTCAACAATATTGGCAATATCATTTTAAAGTCGTCTACTTTAAAATGCATAATGTATGTCTGAATTGTCAATATAAATGAGTCAGATAAAATTAAATTATTAGAAGAATTTTTTCACTATGTAACAAAAAAACAAAATTTGTTTAATTTACTGTTTGTATTTTGAGAACGATTTCCGAAGTGGAAATTGAAACGTCAATAAACGTATTTTTATCTTTAATTGTGGCTTATTCCCAGTTTAATAATAATTAATTTACAATGCCACAAGAAAATAGCTTCAGAACAATATTAAGAAGTGCTTTTATGCATACAAAGACTTAACGAAAATTAAGTTACTTTTGAAAGAAAGGTGTTTAAAGGTAGCAGGTATTCCGTTTTTGTATATTTTCGACACCCTTCTCTTAAAGAGAGTTATTGAAGTTTGGTAGCACAAAGAGAGTGACCAAAATTCTTGCTATAATTAAATGCTGTATTTCGGTATTAGTAATAACTTTATTAACTATAAACACTATATAAAAATATAAAACTATTTCAGAGCGTGATACATGAGCAACACAAAATCGAAGAATTAAGATAGCACCTTCTCCTCCTATACCACGTAGGAGCTGTCTTCAAATCACGCTGTCACCTCCTCCCAGTGCGAAAGAAAAAGAGGAAGATGGGTTAAGGCTGTTTAAATGCCTGATCACTTCACAAAACAGAAGAAAGGCGACGCGTACTTTCAAATTAATTAAAGAAAACTTATTACTAACTAAAACATTATTGAATCGTAAGTCTAGCTCAGAATCTAAATAATCTAGAATCGTGTATCTAGAATCTTATAATTGGTCCAGTGGTTTAATTCCATATTAAGAAAGATATTTAGACCAACCCAATGTAGCGATGTATCGTGGAGAATAAAAATGAACTATGAGCGGAATGGATTAATGCAGATTGCAGATATCATTACATTTGTAAAGACTGAACTGAACTGGCTTGGCCACTTACAAATAATGCCAGATAATTGAGCTGTAAAAGTACCCCATGATGTGAATCCCAAAGAAACAGGACAAGAGGAAGGCCCCGTGAAAGGTGGATAGACGATGCAAAGGAAGATCTTAAAACCATGAGCAACAAGCAGTTGCGAGAAAAAGGATTTTGCAGGGCAGAATGAAAGAATGTTGTCAAGCAGGCCACACCCTCAAAGGTTTGTAGATACATTAGAAAAAGACGAAGAAGTAGAAGTACGGTACCAGGATGTTGCTTTATCACCAAAAGTTAAGACAAGTTGGGCGACACAATGCAGATTTTTAGACTGAATATTATAGTCACATCATATGTGACTCTCTCTGACTAATGGTTAAATCAAAACATAAAAATATTAAAAAACTTGTCATATTAAAAATAAGAGATTATGCAATACAGTTGCAATTTATTCCTGTTAATCGCTATAACAATTTATAATAAAACTTCACATGAAATTTTGACAATACATACGGCTTTGACAAGCTACATATTTTATATAATATTATTAACTTTATAGCTCATATCTTTATTATATTTGCTAAAATTAGAATGGAGAACAAAAATAAATATAAAATACCTGGTTCGATGCAACTAACGATTCCAAAAAGAACACCTTATGATATTCAGCGGGTACAAGATTATTTGGTGTCGAAAAATATGACTAGAATGGAAAAGTAAGTAAATATTTTCTGTTTTAATATTGTCTTTTTTCTTGCGTCAATCTAATATTAATGCTCTTTCTCAAATATGTCTCATCTAGCTGCATCCTGCTTCGGACAGCTCTTGCGGCCCCCTTGTTTAACTCTGTTTAACTCATCTCCTTATCTTTTTCTCATAGATGATATTTCAGTTTTACTGTAAAAATAAAAATGGTGGTCTAAACATTAAAGACGACGTTAAATTTCGTGGATACGGAATCTCTGTGAATGGTTTGGCTATATTTCAATTTCACTTTTTAGGCGCATAATAAACAAAATTATAATTTCCATAAAGATTTCCAATTTTCGATCGAAGGGGAACTTAAAGACGAAGAAGGCCTAAATAATGACTTCCTGAATGAGGTGACAAATTGAATAAAAGCTGAAGATCTTTAAGCCTGCTGGATATGCGAGCATTCTCATCACTTCTAAAAACAATAATATAAGGGCTTAATTTTAAAAGTAATGTAGAATGCAAATGCATTTACCACTAACAGAGTTTCTAGTATTGGTATGAATAAAATCTGGTAGGCGTAAAGCCCTTGCAAGTGTAGGAATATCTTGTCTGCTAAACCTAAAATTTATTTTTACATCTGCTTCCAACATGTTTTCTAAATTAAATTCTTAATTTTGTGGATGTAATACATGTTCGCCCACAATGTTATTTAAAATGATGGACCCTACATTATCATCATGAGCATTTGCTAAAATAAGTGCTTCTAAATCATGATCAATTTTCAATAATTTGCGTACAAATGAAAAAAAAACATAAACAACGTAAATAACGCAACAAAGTATGCATAAGTTCAAGCAATATCTCTATTTGTGATGTGTCAGCCATATGTCAAAAATGTCGAAATAGCGCGGTGTAAATAGTGCAACGGAGGCACTGTTAACTTTGCAATAACTCTCTAATATCTGGGACACGTAATGAGGGGACAGCGATATAAACTGCTAAGGCTAATAATACAGGGAAAGATAAGTACAGGAGTATAGGAAGAAGGAGAGTGTCATGATTTAAGAATTTACGGGATTGGTTTAAATGTAGTTCTATAGAACTCTTCAGAGCAGCAGTAGATAAAGTAAACCTCCGATTGGGAGACGGTACTTAAAAAAGAAGAATGACATTAGGTTAACAAACGCAGCAACTTTTATCAGCATATACTTCCATGGAAAAAATATCCATAAGGAAACATGGAGATTTGCGGCAGGAGTCACAGTGAACAAGATAGATTATGTTATTATTAACTTCATACATAAATCATTTGCCATAAATGAGTGAACCTCAGAATGTTTCTAATATTTTAAACAGTTTTTCTCTATGTATTGTTGAGAGACCTGGGTTATATTTTAGTTTAAAAACTCTTCTCTTTTAATTTGACAACTTTGTCCTCAACAACTTCATATTTTTTTTCTCTCTATAATCTTATACTTTTTGTATTAAATTTTCTAACGTTTTTCTAATTACTTTAGTAGAAAGGGTCCCACTTAAGTCCACTTTTTATCCCCAGATCTAGGGAAAAACTGTTCCGGCCTTATGGAGAATAGAGCAAATTTCCCCAGCCCCGTATCTCAAATTTCTCCAGATTCCCACCGTGACCACAGGCGATTAAATAAAAAAAGTTCATCCTCGGCTGGCCTCGAACCCGCGTCCCAAACGTTCATGACTAGGCGCCCAGACTACTAGACCAATCGGTCATTTGAAGTAGGTAGGCGTCAATAAGTATAAAAAAACAAAGTCAAAGGTCATGGTTAGGACGGGATATACGTGGGGAGGAGGTAACGAATACAAAAAAAACATGGCGACGTAGTGTCAAAACGGCGCTTTTCGATGTGGGAACAGTTTTTCCCTAGATATGGGAACAAAAAGTGGACTTAAGTGGGACCCTTTCTACTTTCTTTAGTTATTCCTTTGTTCAGCTGTTTTAGGTCTGTAGAGTTTATGCTGTTTTAACATTTTTCTTCTCGCAGAGATATCACGTTAGGACGCGATATACGTGGGGAGGAGGTAACGAATACAAAAAAACATGGCGACGTAGTGTCAAAACGGCGCTTTTCGATGTGGGAACAGTTGTTCCCTAGATCTGGGACAAAAAGTGGACTTAAGTGGGACCCTTTCTACTTTCTTTAGTTATTCCTTTGTGCAGCTGTTTTAGGTCTGTAGAGTTTATGCTGTTTTAACATTTTTCTTCTCGCAGAGATATCACATTTTTTCGTATTTTAGGTGATTTTCTATCAATTTTCGGTATTGTGTTTGCAATGTTGTTTTTCCGCTTCTTTAATGACTTTAATGATATTGGCACTTATAGTTTAAATATCAAGTCAAATATTCGGATGTAATGGAGTGTGCGTAGTTTGATTCATTGTTAGATGGGTCCATTTAGTATTGGTAATAATTTAATTTATTCTTCATAGAGTATATCCCCAATTTGATGTCGTCAAATCCGAAGATCCAAAAGCGGAATTAGCCAGACTGCAAATAAAATTGCTAGATTCTGAGACACTGCTTGATCAGAAAAGAAAAACTTTGGTAGAAGTCAGAAAAGAATTGGACACGCAGTGGCAGGAGCTTGATAATAAAGAACAGGCTTTGAGGGAAAATTTTCGTAAATTTGATCAGGTAAATTGTTTGTTTTTGAGTAAAATACACAAATCAACAAAAAAAAGAAGAAAATGCATATTATGTACATACTTAGTCGAGGCAAAGAAGCAATAAGCTTATCAAATTTTTGCAGTTGGATGGATCTGTATAAAACTTATTTCATTCAATGAAATGAAAATTGCATTCCAATGTGCATTTCGATATTTAGAATTTATGATTTAGATATACTATCTAATTTCTACGTAAGTTCTACGTAAATTTGATTGTGATATCGTATGTCTTCGAGGCATTGGATGAGGTTTGATGCAGGAACCTTGATGCCTTTGTCTTTTGGCTTTCTTGACAATCCGAAGATATCTGATTACCTTCCACATAATTACAATCAACATAACAATAAATAATTTCACTAGTCCTGTGGTCACCCCCTCTGTGGGTCAGTGGTAAGAGCGCCTATCTTTAAACCTAAAGGTCGTGAGTTCGAATCCCACCTGGGTGGAAATTTTCGTTTATTAAACAAATTAATAAATGAAAATAATTTCTATCCTTGTGTGATTGGTACTCACCGGAGAGACCGCAGATGTTCGGATATAATTAGCGTCTCTTAGCAAAGACAATGACGTCGACTTTGCTAAGTATCAAGACAATTACTCTACATACACAGACACACACACTACATTAATAAACTTATCTTGATTGAGACTGCCTGAATGACAATTGTCCAAGCCAAACACACAAAAAAAAAGTCCTGTGGTTAAATGAGAAATCCACTAGTGGATGGCAATGGTTTTCCACGTGTGTTCGGATATGTCTTGGTCCAACTGCCCTAACTCAAGTACTATATTTGGTAAGTCATCTCCCCGAAAGTCTATATTATGTCTAGGAATGTTGATCTCTTTTATTATTGACCTCTGCATAAGCTTCGCATTGAAGCTAACGGGAGTCTTTAAGTAACTTCCAAATGCTGTTTCCGATCCATTACTGGATATTAGTAATATTGTGTTCCTGGTCTAAGGAATGCATTTTGGTGACAGCTTTATAAATATATGTTCAGATCGAGAATCACCGCACATTATAGCTAAATTTATAGCGTATATTGGAATTACTAGCCAGAGATTCGGTGTACTTATTTTCAACCAAGTGGCTTCCTTTAGCATCTACTCTACTATAATTATTGCAGGTGGTGTTGAGAGCTCTATCATATAATTAATTTAAGATACAGTTTGGCTGGATATCCATATTAATGATTGCCATAGGTGAATATGGGTGGCTATCTACGTGGGAAACCCTTGCCATACAAAACGTCAGTTAAATATAAGTGATTTTCCTTTTACCTTTAATAATAAGTTTGCTACGTTTTTATACTAAATAAACTATACAGGGTGAGTCATGAGGAACTTTACATACTTCTACCATATGTAGAGTCCCTCAGGGAGCATATCATGTGGCCACTAAAAAATGTCAACTCCTCTTCTTTATTAATTAACAGGGTGATTTGTGTAATTGACCATTTATTTCATTTTACTGTAGTGTTTATACGGTTCATTTGATTTTTTTAATTTTTGCATGATACAGTACACTACTATCAAGCATTCGACTGGTATTAGCTAAACTAAAAAATTCCAGGACTGGCTTTGGAAAAATTAATTTAGGTATTTGTATTAAATATTTCACCCTGTATCTATATATATATATATATATATATATATATATATATATATATATATATATATATATATATATATATTTTAATGCAATAAGTGATTTTCAAACTACATAAATAGCCAATGAAAACGACATATGCAATGTTGCCGCACTTTTATTAAATTTTTAGTGAACGATCAAATCTTACCAAAAATATAACAACCATAATGAAGTATCAAAATTATAAGGTAATTAATTTAAACAAATGTTATAAATTTCAAACATTTTAATTGAAATGATAAACTGAGTCACTGCACAACAAAAAACAGTAACTACTAACAATAACGAAGAACAATTTAAAAAAAAAAACTAAAAATATGTATATAGTTATGATAAACCCATAAATTAGAACTGGAAAAGATACAATAATGGTAACAAAATAAAAATAATTCCAAATAGATTTTCGAAATGGAACCCTGCAGCCTGTACACATTTTTGTTGCCGAATTGTTAATTGACGCATTGAATTATCGATACTCTGGGGATCGTTTCTAATAGTATTACAACAATGAATAATTCTATCAATTAATTGTTGTTATTAATATTCACTGCGTAGACTAGTTGCTTCAATCGTCCCCAAATATGGTAATCAACGGGATTGAAATCAGGGGATTTTGAAGGCTACGAAATAGGACCTGCACGTCCTATCCACCTGTTGCCATAAACATTATTGAGATGTTGTCTCACTGCCAGTAAAAAGTGTGGGGGTGCCCCATCATGCTGAAAATACATCCCTCGGATAGCAACGTTCGCGTTGGCAAGCAAATTCGACAAAATATTTGGTAGAAAGTTCAAATAGACCTGCCCTGTTAAAGGACCATCAAAAAAGTGAGGACCTATTAATTGGTTATTTATGACACCAATCCACACGTTAACCGAAAACCTTAACTGAGAACGACGTTCTCGAATAGCATGGGGATTTTCTTCTGCCCACACATGTGAATTTCGTGAATTATTTATCCCGTCTCTGGTAAATTGGGCTTCATCTGTAAATAGTGTCCTGTATAGCGTTGGTCGATTATTGTTAATCCATCTACAAAATTCCAACCTATCGATCTCATCTCCAGCATGTAGTTGCTGAACCATTTGAATGTGATATGGGTATAGATTATTTTTTTGTAAGACTCTACTTACTTTTGATTGAGTAACATTAAGTTCTCGACTTACTTGTCTAGTGCTTATTGTAGGGTTCATAGGAAAAGTGCCATTTTCTCGCAAATAATTAAAAACTGGCCCAAATGTTGGATGAATGGGAATTCGACGATTAGGAAATCTCCTGCGATATTCTCTACTAGCAGCCCTACCATTCCTATTACAGAATCCATAAACAAATATTATGTCTGCATATTCTGTGGTCGAAAACTGATGTGGCATTTTGAACGAAAGTAACAAAAGCTCTACCAAAACTAACACAATGTACTTAACGTAGATATGACAGAAGAAATATGTATTCTTGTACACATAAATAACAATTGATAATGACAATGGGTATAAAATATTAAGAAACGTCAAACGGTCAATGCCAACCTCCATTTTAAACTTTTTTAGATTTACTTTGATGGTACACAAGGCAAATATCGAACACAGTATTTAATTAAATCTTGCCCAAGTACTTTCGATCACAAGATCATCCTCAGGGGCATTTCGTCAATTGTGGCCTATCCAGCAATAACCGAATGTCATACATGTAAACTGGGACATAACAAATACACTAAAGACAAACAAACACTTTAAAATTTAAATTGGAGAAGCTACATTTTTATATTATAGAAGCCGGAGACAGAATTCTGTCAATGTCAATGTATTATTATTTGACATAAAATTTTATTCATTTACAATCAACAAAAACTAACACATACAAGAGGTTTGACTTTTTATTTAATTTAATTTATTATTTATCGAAAATAATGCCCCAATACGATCTATGAGTAAAAATTTAAAATTGAAAAACAATTGATTGTTTTTTAAACGAGAAACAAAAGATGTTAATTTTCTACGTATTAGATTATGTTGTAGGAACTCATTTTAATTAAAATGTTTGAAATTTATAACATTTGTTTAAATTAATACCTTACAATTTTATACTTCATTATGGTTGTTCTATTTTTGGTAAGATTTGATCGTTCACTAAAAATTTAATAAAAGTGCGACAACATTGTCGCATATGTCGTTTTCATTGGCTATTTATGTAGTTTGAAAATCACTTATTGCATTTTAAAAAATATATATACAGGGTGTAATATTTAATACCAATCCCTAAATTAATTTTTCCAAAGCCAGTCCTGGAATTTTTTAGTTTAGGTAATACCAGTCGAATGCTTGATAGTAGTGTACTGTATCATGCAAAAATTAAAAAAATCAAATGAGCCGTATAAACACTACAGTAAAATGAAATAAATGGTCAATTACACAAATCACCCTGTTAATTAATAAAGAAGAGGAGTTGACATATTTTAGTGGCCACATGATATGCTCCCTGAGAGACTCTACATATGGTAGAAGTATGTAAAGTTCTTAATGACTCACCCTGTATTGTTTTTATATTTCCTACTGTTCTTTTAGTCTATAGCTCTATAGTCATAAACAAAGGAGCGGATGATAAGATGTAAATTTGATAGAGATCGTAGTATAATTATTGACGTTTATGTTAAAGAAGAGGTAAAAATGCACAAACAATGATTTAAATTATATAGCACCAAATATTAGTATTTAATTCATGAATTATTTTACCCAATGTACTCTATGGCTCTCCTCTTGAAAATTAACTTAATTAATGCATTTTCGTGCAGTTAAAATATTTACTTCTATTAATAATTACTCTGTATACGACATTTTCAATAAAATTCTTTCGTTTTGCTTTTCTTTCAGTTTATTAAAGAAAATATGGACAAACGCGAACGAGCAGAAAAGAAAATCAAAGACGACACCAAATTGTGCGCGCAAAGGGCCAAAGATATTGAAAAGTCTAATAGAGATTATGAGGCGTTGAAGGACGCCAAATTCGAAATGGACAAAAAAATTAAAGAATTTCGTTTATATGAAGTAAGTTAGTTTAATTTTGACATATATTCTTTCTAGTGCAGATAAATATGTCCTATTATTCACGCTTTCACGGCGACTGGATATATACCACTGAACAACTTTCAAGTTACTATTTTTTTACTGATTTTCGTTCGTGACCAACTTGTGTAATGGGTTGTGTAACTTATATTGTGGTATCTCTCTCTAGTTCCTTCCCTCCTTATGAAGTATTGGACACTTATCCGTATCTTGGCCAAAAGTGTAAATGTGCGTCCAAGATGAACGCTGGTCAAAGCTGGTAGTCAGATTCAGATTCTCTGACTCAGACTGTCTGACTCCAATATAGCCATTATAAATGCTTGTTTTCCGAACCAACAGTGTAGACCGTTATCGATCAGTGTAACATGGAACTTACAAGAAAACAGCTGCAGCTCTTTTGGTGCTTAGTGACAATGTTAAAATAAATCAAAAGGGGAACACATCAATTTAATAAGTAAAGACATATTAAGGGAGAGTACAAACACCTTTTTCAGCAATTACTTGCAGACAAAAACCGATTTTTCGAATATTTGAGAATGAATCCGACTATGAAGAGGCATTTGACAGAGTTCAACATCAAAAGATGATAAACATTTTAAAAGAGGCAGACCTGGATGACAAAGACCTCAGAATAATTTCAGTACTCTAGTGGAATCAGACCGCATATATGAAAATTACCGGAGAAGAAACAGATCACATAAAAATACTACGTGGAGTTAGACAGGGATGTATCCTACCGCCGTTGATATTTAATATGTACTCAGAGAAAAATTTTAACGAGGCTCTTTACGGAATAAACGAAGGTATCGTTCTAAATGGTGAAAGAGTAAACAATGTTAGATATGCCGACGACACCATGGTGATAGCAGATAATTTAGAGGGACTTCAGAGGCTAATGGACAGAATAAACGAGTACAGTCAACAGTACGTACTAAACATTAATACCCACAAAACGAAACAAATGATTATCAGCAAGGAAAATATAAACGGGGCTCATCTAGACATTAATGGGACGCAGATAGAGTGAGTAAAACAGTATTGTTATCTGGGAACTATTATTAACGAACAGTGGAGCAATGTACAGGAAATAAAGTGCCGCATAGAAAAGGCAAGAATGGTCTTTAACAAAACTTGAAGCATTTGAGATGTGGCTTTATAGAAGAATGCTGAGAATATCATGGACAACAAGGATCACGAACAAGGAAGTTCTAGGAAAAATGAAGAAGGAACCAGAGATTGTGTTTACGATTAAACGCATAAAATTGCAATATCTGGGACACGTTAGGAGACATCAGCACCGTTACTCCCTGCTACAGTCTATATTGCAAGGTAAAGTCAAAGGTAAGCGAGGACCCGGTAGAAGGAGAATATCATGGCTGCGGAATTTAAGAACATGGTTTAAGAAAACCTCAACAGAGCTGTTTCGAGCTACAGCGAGCAAGGTTATGATTACCAATATGATTTCCAACATCCGAAACGGATAGGAATCAGAAGAAGAAGAAGAAAGAATGAATCTTCAGACAGCTTATTTTATTTTGTCAAAAATTGAACACAAATACTTTCAAAGAACTGGGCGAATTGTCACAAAATATCTTTGGTGATAATTCTTCGATATCCATCAGGGATCACACTTTAAACGAATAAAAATTAATTCGGCGTCAGGTGACTGAACGCAGAATGAAACGTTAATTTTGGTAAAAGTCTGTGTCAGATTACCAGGGCACAGGTTGTCAACACCTGAAAATACGAAGGATTATTTGCATATCAGCGAAGATATGAGCTGACTGTCTGACTCCGAAAACCAGCGTTCATCTTGACTGGTCTGGTCACCGACATTATATGAATTAGATATAAATTTAAAGATACTCGTATCGACATTATTTTAATATTAACATTATTAGTCTATCTGAGGGACAAACCCGTATTACTTTTATTATTTATGTTGCAATATCTTCAACAGTTAGTCCGTCTTTAACAACTAAAATACTTTGAACATGTTATAAGAGCAGTCACGAAAAACATGTAAAGACTTATTATCCAACGAAAGATAAAAGACCCAAGATCACAAGGAAGATCAGCAACAAGGTGGGTCGACCAAATCATGGAAATATGCAAAAGATCTATGCATGAGTTCAAAGAAATGACCAGAGGCAGAGATCTTGGAGACGGAAAATACACGACGACCACAACACTTCCTCCAAGGGTCAGGACTAAAGACAGAAAGAGATCTTCAATAGTTGGCGCCTTTTGTAGTATATTGAGTGAAAAGTGACTGGTACATATTCCATTATGATTTTTTATATATTTCAATAACTCTTACAAAATTTGTAATCACAAAATGAAGTTTTATTTCTGTAGTTTGCGTCGATATATCACAGATGAAGAACTTTTTGTATATTGTCATACTTTTTTTTCAGCCAAAGAGAAAAATTGAAATAAATAAATAGACCATTTAAATAAATTTTTAGACATCCTGGTAAACAAAATTTATGTATTAGATTAAGATAAGATTATATTAACAGAAAGTTTTGCCTGTCAACAACTGATTACACTGCCAGGTAAAATCTTTTTTCTTTAAACGTCAAATACTGATGACATTACTTATCTAACTTTATCCTGTCAAAGTTTGATGTCTTCGCCGGCAGCAGTTTTTTTCCCATTTCTTTACGGCGGAGGGAAAAATGTTGTCATGGCAACAATATGAAACATGTCACAAAGCAACAATACTGTAATGTAAGCGTAGCAAGTGAGTGAGAAGTTGGAATAAAGGGATAATGGAACAATAAGTAGCATAGAAAAGATAATAATTATTCGAGATAATTATTATATATTCCAAATTAAATAAGGGATAATTAATACAGTTAACTTATACATTTAAATTATACAAAGTATAACAATTGACCTAGTTATTGCATTGTTTGATAATTGTTTAAACGTATAAAAAGCACGAAACATCCGTGACCCAAATAGGCAGCAATAATACCAAAACTGCAACTCAGCGAACCTACGACCTTGGTACTAGAACCGGCGTTGAAAGTACGACCACAATAAAACAAGAAAAAACGACGGACGCCAGACAGTCGGTAGTTAGTAATGAGTAGTCAGTAATGGGCAGTCAGTAATAGCGGGCCACCGTGACTGGGACGCGACAGCGTCCCGTACGCGAACAGTACAGGACAGTCGGTGATTTTCCGGGGGCCGGGTATCTTCTGGCAGAATTCGCGTGTAGTCCGGTTATTGTGGCCGCTCGAAAGTTCGCAACCCTCAACTGACCGAGTTCCAGAAGACTGAACGTGTCGTGGTTGAAGCCCTAATATACACATAAGGTAACAGATTTCGTTATACTAACCTGTGTAATTATATTAGTACCTCTGTCAACTCTTCACTATCTTGCTACATCGTCTCCCGACGCGCAGAATAACGTGTTAACGATTGTATTAGGAACTTCAGGGTAGATTCAATATATTGTTGACTCTAATTTGGTTTTTTTTTAATGTTCCTTTCGTCCGACTCACTAGAGACTAGGAGAACACGAGATTCTGCGTATACATATCTCCGGCTTCAAAAGTAAGCCCATAACCTCTACTCTTTACAGGACCTGAGACCGAGGAGTCCTTACCCCTATCCCGAAATCCCTTATCTTCTCGTAAATCCACGAAGACGAGCCAGCCCTCCAGACCAGTGTGACCAGTATTCCTTGCAGCCGCTCGCAGGGTTAGCATCCCTTGAGGATCTATTGTATTTTACATTTGGTGACAGTCTTTACAGGACCCTATACATAGAAGTCCTTAATCCCTCTCCACTTCTCGCAAATCTGTCCCAGATTATTACATTGGTGACAGCGGTCCCGGTTTGGGGGAATTTCGGTAAATAGGGATAATTAAGTCACTTCTTCAGTATCCTTGTAAACTTTTGCAAGTTTTGTAGCTATAAGAAGCCTTCATCGTTTCATTTCGCCAGTGACATTCCAATTTTTTTTCTTCTCTTTCCTAAGACGACAACAGATTAAAGAAACAGTGAGGTATCCAGTAAATATTGTGTGGAGTGCAGGACTCCCTCTTCTGGAAGAAAATCCTTTTTCTCTCTTTGTTATATAAACTTGTTAGTGGTTTTACACAAATTATTCGTATATAGTAGATTTTTTTTTTTTTTTTTTTTTGTTGTCTTGTATCACTGGAAAATAACCTCATATCAATTCCTTCCCGAGACTTAGAATCCTAAATTAAGATAGGTGAATTGCTTTTATGATATATGTGAAGAGATGACAAGTACAAATTTTTTTCAAAAATACATACTAACACATTATATGATGTTCTCTATATAATTGTTTTTAATTACCATAATATTGCACTAAAAATATAAACTATACTGTCTAACAGAACATATGATACAATATGGCATAACAGAGATTATTAATTATCAGTCGATTATATGAATTGGATATAATTATTCGAAGAAATAATAAATATATTGTTTACTAACTAGTTGAATATAAAGAATTTAAGTTAGTAGGTCAAGATCAAGTTCATTTGAGTGTACGAGTTTATTGCTTTCAAAAAGCGCAAAATATAAATTCTTTAAATATTGTTTTACTAACTAACGGTTTACATAAATATTATCAAATTCTTTTGTTTAATGTATCAAGTGAAAGTGAAATATGATACTAATTGCTCGACGTGTGTTTGAAAAATATTAAACGCGCTTGGTCAAGTAATATACACTGAAAAATTAGATATGACTTTGCTAAAGTAAATTGGGATATTTGGATTTATAAATAACGTTCAATTTGTAAAAAGGAAAAGAATTTAATAGAGCTTAATTTTTCAAAAAAATAAATACTAACACCTTAGTTGATATGTGAGTATTGATTGATTGATCGATTATTATTTGATTTGATTATTTGATATTTCCTACAGATTTTTTTTTAAGTTCGGCAGCGTATATTTCTAAGTTCTTTATTTTAACAAAAATTTAATTCTTTA